AACGTATTGTTGAACTGATTTTGACCTTACTGAGATAATGTGGAGGCAAATCCAGAGGAAATTGGCTTATTTCGCAGGAAAATTGAATGACCTTTGAATTGACGTATTTGGGGGTCCGTGCCCCCCCTTAAAATTAAATCGAAGTGATTTCTGCAATTTTTACGTAAAAGCGAACACAATTTGGTAAATTTTCCCGTTTTATTTTTCTCTTTACGATAATTTGAACCGGAGTTATGATTTTTTGAAAATAGGTCAAATTTGACCTTTGACCTATCATAACTCGGTCAAAAATTGAGATATTGATCTGCGGTTTGCGCCAAAATTCTTAGTTTTTTATGCTCTTTCGAATGAGGTATCACAAGATAGGGGTTGCTATTTGAAAAAAAAAAGTTGGGGGGGGGCCAAAATTTTGACCCCCTCAAAAGATGGTCCCCTTTGAGATAGGAACATTCCCAAAGTTTCATTTCCTTAGCTCAATTCGTTCAAAAGTTAGAGGGGGGGTCGGGGACTTTTCGCTCACCCTGTATTTCGAGTTCCGAATCGCAATGAGCCCACTGGTGTTTTTTCTTATATTTTCATCGCATATAAATTTCTCTGATGTTTTTGTTTTATTCTCTCCGATTGCATATTAGTAATCATATCCTCATTTAATTTCCTTTCCCTTTCCTTTTTCCTTTTCTGTAGCATCTTTGTCCATTTACAATTATTATATTTTGAAATAGATTTCCCCTAGTATACAACTGATGCTTCAAACGGAATCAATTGTTTTAATGACATTTCCGGCTAAATCATGGGGTTTCCCAGGAAGGCAGCCTCTCGTCCCTCCCGGACTCTATTGTTGCCAGATAAGTTGCTTTTTCAGCACTTCTCCCAATTCAAATCCATGTAAAAATATTCACATTTATCGCACAATCTGGCAACCTCTCGAGTGAAATAGAAAAAGGTAGAATCGCTGAAAGTCTGAATCCTTCGAAGTTTGTATTAATGATATTTAACATTACTGAAAATCCAAAGGAAAAATATCCATAACTTTCCTCAAAAATTACCTTTGGATTGCAGGAGATTTGACAACATCCGAATGTTCTTATTCCGTTTTCCCTTAGCACGGCAGAAGAATTTTAAGCGGCACGATGACGCTCAAAAGATCTCTATAGAAACAATTATGACAACATTATTAACAATTTATAATCTATTGATCTTTTTGTGAAATAGAGAAAAACTGAAGTATCTTAGAAACGACCTAATGGAGATGTTATGGCAACGTACATCTATGGCCGATGTCAGAAACCACGTATCTCCATTGCAATGTTTCCAAATTTCCGCTGTTCTTTTAATTTTTCGAAGAGAAACAAGTGAACTTAGTCAATGGCAAGGCGTGAATGTTCGATTATCGATATTTTCCTATTCAAAGCTATGGTAAAGCATTGATAATGAATGTGTTAGGTTGTCAGACTAATCGATTTTTGCAAAACACACCACGCCATAGAACTTCATAACTTGAAATGTAAACGGAACAAAATATTCTGCCAAGGGAAACGGAAATTCAACTAATTTTTCAAGAAATTTAGTTGACCAGTTTTCTCAGAAAGAATGAAGTACAACAGAGAGTCTACAACGTCAAAAACGGAGATACGTGGTTTCGCACTTTGGCCCTAGATATGCATTTTGGTTTTAAAGGCATGTTTTAACATTTTCATAAATATATTGAAGATGTTGGAATCAGAGGCGAGGTGTGGATGATCAATTATCGGTATTTCCCCATTTGAAGCTGGGGAAAAGAATCGATTAAAAAAGTGTTCGTTGAGAATCAACGAATAATCCTGTTAATCGATCTTGTTCCACAGGTTCAATAATGACAGATCAATCGATATATCGCAAAACATGCACGTCACTGGCTGGAATTAGAGCGTTAAAGACCGGAGAGTAAGGTTTACCGGAAGAGAAGTCTCTTGGATCCAGCGTCCAGACTCATAAAACAAGTTTACAAGGAAAATGCCTACTCTTGATTCCATCGGATTTTTGCTGGAATCAAAAGAAAATCCGCTTTAATTTAGAGTTTTGGCTCTTGTTTGAAGAAAATATCTACATATCGGAATCAAGATAATTTCCTCTTGCCAAATTTTTAAGAGATTGGACTCTAGATCCAAAAGACTAATTCCCTAGTGTTGCGTCTCCATTTCGGGCAGGTTGAACCTTTTGTAAGAATGCCGCCGATGAGTATGTATTTAAAATGAGCGCAGGATCTGCAAAGGCTGCCCACTGATTCGAAGAGGCCTGGTCTACTGTTAAAAATTACGAGTAGATCCCCGTTCATTGCTCATCCTACTCAAAGACGCACGTTATAATTGCAGGTACGGATCAATTAACGAATCTCCATAATTGAAAAGGTAAATACCCTAAACGGTGGAGCCATTATCCAATTAGAACGCACGGGCTCGACTAGTGACCTTCTTAAAAGATGTTCGGCTCCCACCCTCCCACCTCGAAACAGAAGCATTTCTACTCTTCGGCCAGACACTCAATTTCAGCCATTGATTTACGTTCAAATTCGAGTCCTATTATAATTATCACCAGTAGTCAGAAACAGCTTGCTTCTTCGTGTTAGTTCATTTGCTCTCGGAGTCTATTAATTATAATGACAACCCGCGCGTGCTCATCTCGCATTGTTGTCGGATTTAGCGTTTCTTGCTCTCGCGTAGGTAACTATTTTGTTTTATTTCTGTTTTCTAAGCTTTACTTGTTTATTTTTTTCCATCCTAGTAAATTGAGGATATTTTGAAAATAAATTTCTACAAAACATTTGTGTGATCGAATTACGCATAATCAATTTTTAACGGAAATATTGTGTCAAGTATTTAAATGAAAATATTCCAAAATATCGCTCATAATCTACCTTGAGAATATTTCAAGAATAATTTGAACATTTGTTTTGCTGGTATTTTTAAAATAAATAAAAAGAATAATCTTAACAGTATAGCACGCCCTAGGAAGTATTTTTCAAAACAAATTTGGAAAATATATTTCAAACAAATATTCACTCTTTGTTCTTATAAAAATATTGAAAACTCATCTTCGAAAAAACAAAGTGGCAATAATATGGGACCACACGAAACTTAAAAATTCACTTTCCTTATATGATAACATTTTTTTAAATACCTCAAATGTAAAAAACAAAAATTAAGAAAGAATTTTAACAGAAACATCAAAATGCTATATAATTTTACACATATAAGTAATTTATTTCTTTTTTAATACATTTTTTGTTTTTTTCTTTATTGGTTTCAGGGTTTGGCCTACTGTATAACAAAGAAGTAAAACAATTCCTCTAAGCGTAAGTTCATAAAAAATACAAAAGTATCCATAGCTAAATCTGGTGAGCGACGATTGATACCACTTTAATGGTTGATACCAATTCATAAAATTATGATCAACTCTGTCATGAATGTGATTTCAATATTATAATTGTTATTTTTCTTGTTTCTTGTTTTCGTTTCCTTTTTTTATTTAATTTATTAATTTAATTTTAATTGTGAGCATGCCCGAGATTGCGAATGTGTTTAAGATGAAATAAAAAACAAACAAACAAACAAACAAACAAGCAAAAAAGAAAGCATAAACCCAAGGGTTCTCTTCCACAAAATCTCGCTCAATAATTAATGGCTATGTGCGCATCTTACGAAGACTACAAATACACGAGACTGCTGGGCAAAAAACAGGGAAAAGAGACCCACTAGATGAAATGAATATGTCTACGTATGCTGTTAATAATTTTCCCCCCAATTTCCTATCATTTATAAGATCGTGAACACCTGAAGTTCATGAAACCGGTGAAAAAGGAATAGAAAAACGTAGAAATAAAAATCATCATAAGAAAAGTTTCATAATTTCCTCTCCGAGTAAGAATCAATGTAAAGTCGAATTCGACTTTCAATTTTACTCTTGTGGACAAGGAATCTGAAAATGTTTGTTAGAAAGAAAACCTAGCAAATTTGGACCAAAATTTGGGCTTTCTCAAATTTCTTCGTTCATTGCAAGTTGCAAGTCATACGATTACAGAAAACTTGAACATCAGATGTAACCTATTTAAGTGAGAGTTGGGTACCTAACTGTTTACAGTTTTGCCTTACCGTAAGGTTTTCACCCATACTGTAATATTTTAATTCCTTCTCGTCCTTAATATTGAATGATATTCATGATATGTACCATTTGTGATAAGTTTTGTGAAATCTTGAAACTTTTGACATACCGATGACCTATTGTAACGTCGTTACGTTTCCATGCGATTGCCGCCAAAGCATGTCGAATTTCTGTATTTCTCCTAGTTTCTCTTTTTCCTACCATTATGTAATTAAAGTGCAGAGTTGTTAGAGTCACAGTTCCTATTTATCGATCGCTAGACGTGAGAATAAGTATGCTTTATGTTAGAGTAATTACTTGTAAGTTCCCAACGCGTTTTCTGTCTGTGAAAATAAGTAGGGACAAGGTTTTTAGTAGGTTTAAGATAAATCATATAATTGGATAGTAAAATTTACCTACACGTGTACGATGTGTGGTTTTCACCGTTTTGAGAAAAGCTGCTCAAATAATAATACTTATGTGCTTTACATAATTCTCTCGATGAACCATCTGTGAGGAATATTTTCCCCATCCATACTTTGCGTTTGTTAATGTAGTCTTTACGCGCAACATTGGTTTTGGATGAATCACAAAAAGAGGATACAAAATTACAAACATTAAAGTAAATAAATCGTCAAAAATAAAAATATAACTGACACAGAGTGGGCATCAGATTTTTGAAAATGAAAAAATAACTATAGTGGAAGAGCTAATTTAAACAAGAGGGTGAAATGGTGCTGGATCCAAACCATTTCGAGGGGAAAACAAAGCCAAACAGTTCCGAGAAGTTCTGTTAAAGTGGAAAAATACTCATCAGAGCTCAAAATTTTTTTATAACTCTAATTGAAATTTTTGGAATTTTTTAGCTCATTATTACACTTCCGGCCATATCTTAGTTGACTTTTTTTCATGAATATTTTAAATGAGTCCCAATACCCACTACCGATTGTGATTTAAAAAATTACGCTTGATCCAAACGTTGAATAGTTAAGCTGGGGAATTTTTGAATGATGGAAATACTTACATCAGTTCTCAATATTGCTGGAATAAGCGGCATTAAGGAGATTCCCACAATGTAAGCTATGGTGTCATCGTTCATACTACAGATAAGTTGTTGACCTTTCTTTGTCACGTAGACGTATCTCAATTCAATTAGCCCATTCATGCCGTTGGCCTCCTGTAAACAAACATGAAACGACTGAAGTTTTTCAGTTGGACATTTACAATCTGATCCTTGACAAACCGGAACTACGCACACATTTTCCAAAGGCACGATTCAGGGAGAGGGGTGCGGGTGGTACAAGTTTACACAAAAGTGCAGAAACAGAAGATCCCATCACGCAAATATTCCTACGCAAAGTTTCATTGTCGCCTCTTTGTAAAAGCTGCGGCCTAGCTGGAATATTTTACTGCATTTTAGTGCCAAATTTGTCTGGCAAAGCTATATAGACATTATTACTGATTAAAAACATTGCAGAAGATCGATGTTTTCAACTAATAATTATATATTCTACTGTCTTGTTTAGGAGTCTCCGTACCTATTAGCATTTGAATTTTGCCAAATTCTCTTTGGATAAAATGATGGTCTTGGTGAATAATTGTGAATATTCTTTCACGGAATTTTCAGAGATTTTAGAGGAAAATGCGAAGCAAATCCTTCGCAAACTTCAATGAGAAATATTTAGAGGTTTTTTAGCAGATATATATTTTCTACAGAAAATCTGCCGACGTTCAAATGCTCACACGACCTTTTTCCTCAGCACGTTAGTATCTGCAGCGCGGCGGGCTTAGCGATGTATCGATTGCTCTACCATTTCAACTTACAGAAAAGGATCAGTAAACAGGGTGTTCGCAACGGACACCTCAAAAATCATTCTTTACCATATTCAAATGGGGAAATGTCGATAATCGATTATTCACGCTTCGCCACTGGTTAGTATGGGTAACCCATTAGAGCATTGCAATCGCGTGAGAAGCTTTGAAAGTACTTGCATTTTCTTCGGTGACAGCATGCCAGTCCTATTGAACTTGGAAACACGGTTACATTTCACTGAGGGGCATACACTATGAACACTGTCTGAGGCATACTCTCTGTTCCAAGTTCTCTTCTGATACCTGAACTTAATCTGCTTAATATACAGTTTCGTGAGAAAAATATCTTTTCTGCAATATCTCCACTTTTTGAGGGATGCAAATTGTGTAATTTTAGTCTCGTGCATTCAGTTTCTTTCAGAGTATATTTTCGTTCGCAAATGAGATCTGGCAGAAGAAGAAAAAACATAATTTTGAAAAGGGAAAAAATGTGGAATTATTTTCATTTTCATTTTTATATCTATCGAAATTATGTCCTTCGATGAAAACTATTTTCTCGTTGTTCATACCAAGTAATACTGTCCCTAGCTACTGTCGTGAGAAGTAGCATAAGTTTTTATCTACTAATACCTGAAAATTCTCAGGAATCATAAGACCACCTAGCGCAGGTTGTTGACATCTGAAAATCAACACTCCATCTGGTAGATTAGGACTTCGATAGCAATAAGTTGACAGAATTCAGTAAAGAATTATTAATTCGACAGAGCAGTTTAGGTCAAGTTTAGTGAGTTCGTGGGTTAGCTCAATTACATAGACTTTCTCTATAGGTATCTTTATATTTTTTTAGAGTAATTTTTCTCAATAATTATAATTATTTGATTTTCTTGATTGATTCGACCAGATGACGGTCGGCGTGACCCCAAAGTCCAAAGTTGGTTCAGACAATAAATTTGGTCAGTTTTGAAATTAAAACTTTTTTTTTCATTGTTTTTTATTATCAGGGTAAAAATTGGCTGTCGTCAAACTGATACTTTTCCGCAGAGTTCACTCTCACCAACCCGCTGGGCACTCAAGTTCAGAAAAATCATTTTTCAACTGTCCGTGCATCAGCACTAGCGTTTATGATCAGAACCGTTCATATTTAATTGAATGAGGCATGATGACTGGTAAATCTTCGTAACCGCACAGAGACGATATCTTTCTTGCCCTGTTAAGACATAGTATCTTCAACGACGCGTCTGCAAATTATACACCGTTCGAAGAGCCATTCTCACGTGAGCTCTGGAAATCATACAGTCCTGCAGACTAGAGTGCCCATCTCAGAGTGTACGTTCTTTTGGTAGCGAAGCGAATGATATTAAGAGATGAGTGCCCGATGTTGTTCGTCTACCATCACTTATCCACAAACTTATTGCATCCCTACTTCTGTTCGCACATGAGAGATGAAGGCGCACAAGAAAGGTTTTATTTAAGTGGTCATTGTTGCAGCGAAGTTGTTCCCAAGAACACAAATGCATGCACTTTGTGCTCGGAAAATGATTGCCGATTGAGAAACAACCGTTCAAACCAGTGTTTTGATGTGGTTTTTATGTCGTTTGGAAACGTAGTTCATTCGCATTTTGGTATGAGCTCTCGATCGTACAAAATGAATCCGCTCCAGAGACACGAGTTGAACTGTATAGATAGGCTCTTTCTGCGAGGTATTAAAAAGTGATTTCAATGACCAATCGGTCTTCGAAATCTAGTGATCATGGCTGTAGATTTAGTGTTTTTCACTTAAAGGCAAATGCATTTCGTAGGTACTTTCAGATGAGCCTTTCGTGACAATGCGTCGCAAAAACAAGCAGAGAAAAATATGTAAAAATAGTCTGAAATCTCTAATTACGTGCGTGGAGACCTATAAACTTAGATGCTCCTCTTCAATATCATCGTCCGTTTGGCCAATAGGTATGACCTGATACAAACTAGTTTGTTATAATTATTATTCCGTTTCGATCGTAACTAAAAATAGAGGCATAATGCATGTTTAGATGTTTCTGAATATGAAAGTAATACATGTTGACAAAAATTGTAATTATACTTCCGAAAAAATTACAAATCTGTTAAATAAGAAGGAAATACCACCCCCCCCTCACTTAAAAATGCCAGCCTTCATTATGCAACCACCCAACAGAACAGATTGCAATTACTTAAATTACATGGTACAATAATAATTATTCTACTGCATCAGATTGTTGTGTATATTGCCTGATTACTGATTGAAGGTGCGCTTCTCATTGAAGTTTCTTGCAATACAGTTAAAAAAAAATTCAATTCTTCGTTGCATTACAAACTGCTTATCTTTCTGACGCATGGAACTGCTCTTATTGGTAATTTAAAATCAACTTTTATTCACCAAATTGTATAAAAATGTTGCAATTTCACAGTAAAGAAATGATAATTCTGTTGCATGATATACCTACTATTTTTATTTCAATATTTTCATTGTTCTATGCTGATTGAACAGTTTTGAAAATGCCGTTAAAATTGAAATTATAGTGATGGCATTGAAAAGTGATTACACCATGCAGATAACATTCCATTATGTTTAGTGATGTAGAAAAGTGTACATCATTTCGGAATAATTCCAATCTCGCAAAACATATTTATTTGAGTCTCGGGTTCGTGGGGCTTCATATTTACCTCTTTTAACATTTACTTCAACCATTGTCCGCAGAGGTTGGATCATTCATAAATGAAATTATGAAACGCAAAATGTCACTGGAAACAGGAACCATTTTTATGCGTCATTATATGTCCATTCGTGCTTTTTATGCAACGCCCCAGGGATCATTTCTCAAATCTTGATCTCATTTATATGTTCTCTTAATCAAAACAAGGATTTTAAAAATTATGTATTGAGGCTACGCCTGTAAACACTCAAAAACTCTGTCTCCCGCAGCCCAAAAGATGATTTTGTGATGTTGATCCGAGTTTATTTTTCAGAGGAAATCGTAAAAGTCGGACATTTCTCTAAAATCATCTCACATTTTTTTTTGTAATCAAGTGTTTATAGAATTGATTTTTATGTTCTTTACTTTCAGTTGAAGTGTTGGGTGTTAAAAACACATTTAATAAAATGTAATTCAATTGGAAAAGAGTGCCCTTTTCGCACTAAACACCTCAATTTTTGTCTTAGTCAATCCAATAATGCTTGAGAGAAAATGTGACTCCTGAGGGAGGAGATCGAAATTTTTTTGGTTGTATCCGAACTTCATACCCGTCTATTGATTTTCGCCTTAAGTTCCGATATTTCTACCTTTTTTAAGCTTTAATGTTAAGCAGTGTGTGAAAACGGCTGTGCCTCTACCACATTTTTGGTATCTTAGAATGTCTTTAGTAGTGTAACTATTTTGTGCGAACACCGTAAGAATCCACTATACAATGCTCAAATTATTAGAATATTATAAATGGATAAAGGGAAGATTCCGCATGTGAACGCAAAAAAAAAAAAAAATTAAAGCCACCTGAATGTAATGCAACGAAAAGTGTATGAGAAGCAATCTACATAATTTTTGAGCAAAATTGAAAGATATGAGGAAAAAAAGAGAACCCAGGGATAATCAACCATTTCTGCTTGACTGATCCCAACCCCCCCCCCCCCCCCCCNCCATATTTTTTTTAAACCTAAATATGACATAATTGAAACCATTTTTCTTGTCCCTCTCCATTTCGCTGTAAGGTTTGCAATACATTCGTGTATCTTCTAATTGAGTATGATGTGAGCAAGAGAACACGCTGATTCACTTGTTGCATGTTGCCAATAAGTCGGGTTTTTGTAGTCTCCTTCAATGCCCAAACGATTACCTACCTGACCCATAAAATGACGCACAATAATGTTGAGTGATAAATTTTTGAACCTATTGATCAAGATCCGATCTTGATCTCGAGGAATACTTCATTGCGTTCATCCATTCAGTTCCCTTTTCAATTGCGTGTTTTTAGAGTGTTGTTCAGGAAAAAAGATAGATAACAATTGCCAAGGTACCTGAACTTCTCCCGGTGAGAAATTTGAGGATCATACTCGGTTGCGGAACATTTCAGAATCTGGTCAAAAATTTTTCACTGGGCTATGGTATGTACTGTTACCGTATTTTTTGTATTTAAATGAGATGTTGTTAATACTTGTATCATAATTTTTTTTTGTTTAAGTAAAGTAAGTAATACCTGTGTACAGATTGTTGTATTATTATACGAGATAAATGACAGTAAATATATAAATAAAATGGAAAATGTGTAAATTTGATAAAACCTGGTTTTCACATTATTTCAATACTCATCAAGTACAAATATTGAAATCGTATACATTCATCCTAAGGGATGAACTATATTATCTATTTATTTTTTGGCAAAGCGATTCTTACTAGGTTGGGTAGGAGGCTACAAAATGAGGCATACAATCATGTCATAAGTGGAATGAGAGATTTTAATGCTTTTGACAGTTTTTGTTCTCAAAAACTGTACTCCCGTGCCAAAAACGAATGCCGTAAAGCCCTCAGACGTTGCCAAATTTCCTTCGATAAAATATGGATTTTTCAAGAAATTTGTGAATATTTCTCCTCCAGATTTTTAAATAATTTTATTCGCAATCAGATCTAAATAATTCGAAAATTTCAAGGAAAAATCTGCATAACTTTCTCCTGAAGTAAATATTTCCTAAGATGAAATTTGGCAACATTCTAATAGTTGGACGGCGTTTCTTCTTAGCACGGCAGTGTACCACATTGGTCCACTCCATTTTTCTCCCAATTAATAAAATTGAACTATGAATGTATCAGAAACATTTGCTCTTTAGAAATTTGTCAAAAATTAATAGAAATTTCCGACTGATTCATTCGCTGGGAGAGTGAGCAGGACCGCAGTGAAAAAATAAAGTCCAACCAAATTAGAGGTTTTCAAAGGATATTGGAAAACAGCTGTTTTCTAACACTAAAAAATGACCTGCACTTTCATTTCCCAAAGTCGGGTAATATTTGTATGTGTGTGTGTTTTGTTTCTTGACTCGACGCAATATTTTCTTTTAAAGTAGAAAAAAAAACAGTTGGATTTCAAAAGACACTTTGTTTGATGCCCCCTTCCAAAAAATTATATCTATGTTTTCAATTGTGGGATTTAGAAGGCAGAAAAACCTCCGGTAGACAGAAAATTTAGGCGCGAGTCTCCCAGGGATTTTGCTATTTAAGTGCTTCTGCACACGTAAAGATATAAGAAAAATACGATGTTCCCACTGGTTTTTCTGTGGAAAGAAATCTTAGGCTCAAGAAAAGTTATCTAAGTTCCGGTCATAATGAGGGGGATTCCCCTTGTCATGAGACAGTCCACCTAATTGGAAAGTCTTTATTCAAAACTACGGGGCAAATACTCTAGAAGGATTGCTAGCAGGCGAAGAATGGGGTTGACCTCTAAATAAAACGTTTGCCTCGCCCCCATATCAGCGGCGATTCTTGAAAGTTAGCAATACTGGTTTCCCTCCATTTGAAAGTATGTAAAACAATCAATTCTTGGTGAGGCTGCTTGCCTCATCTAAAATCTATATTTTTAATTGATTTAATTAGAGAACAAACAGTGTTGTTAGTTTGCAAGATCACCACTGCCCAATACAATACGGCTGAGATTGTTAGTGTGGGGTCTTCAAAACATAATGCCTGTGCGTTTTCCAGAGGTAAGGAAAGGTACCCAGTTGGTATCTTGATTGTGGTGAAGCTTTTACTTTTGAGGCCTCAAAATTTAACTTTTAATCTACCAATTAGATTAATTTTTTACATCAACATGTTAAGCATACCGCTCAGCAATCAAGCCGAGGTTTGGTAAACTTAATTCGCTCATTACAGTATGCGAAGCTTATAGCCTACTAGTATGTAGGTCAACAGTCAACTCAAGGGTGATAACCGTCGCTCGTCGGACTTCGAACTTAAAAGAAAAAAAAAGTGGAAAAAAAACTTTCAAAGCCGAGATCATAATGAAGGAGATCTCCCACAACACGATAGAGCCTCCCTCTATTTTAAGTCAAACTCTTTGCACCATCTTTGCATGGAAGCAGGTTTGACTAAATATAAAAATGAGTTCTCAACATAACGCGGGAGATCTTCACCATTAAAGGAGGTCCAATTACGTCCTTACAATCTCGGCTTTGTTGCTCGCTCACGTAGTCTTCAAAGCTGCACTATAATAAGACAGACGGGACAAACACGACTTGGAAATAGACCAAGGGATAATACGAGCGTTGATGACGGTGCAGAGATACAACTATTTGTGCCTGATGGGTGTCCGTGTTGCATCTGCAAAATTGAGGGCGCGATGGCGTACGGCGTGCACTCGTGATGCTCTGCTATATGCGGCTAATGCGGTGTCGTTCAGATTCGGAAGGAACTTTAAGAGCTCTCTTAAGGTTTGTAGTGGGTTTTGAAGAAACCCAGCAGTACTATCGTGTTTCTCGTGAAATGTTACACATAGAGATATACTAAAATGAGCTTTTAACGGATGTTAACTTCCTGCATGCATTTCTGAAAACTAGAGAGTGCTAAGAGCTCACAGGACTTTACCCCGATTTTTTTGAACGATATTGACCCACGAAAAACGAGCTCAAAGTTGCGTATTTTGAGCTTCCATTCAAACGCGCGTCGGCGGGTCACTTAAAATGGCCGCCGCGGCCGCCTCTCGGAGAGTAGACACACTCGTTGAGTACCCACTGCAGTGTTCTTTAGTCCGGAAGCGGACGACGGACCTATAGTCCATGTGCCGACTATAGGTCGCTGCGGTGTTAACTCAACATGTGTGGCCATTTTCCATTGGGCCGGCGGCCACTTTTAGTGACCCGCTTACGCGCGTTCAGATGGGAGCTCAAAATACGCAACTTTCAGCTTGTTTTTTAGGGGTTAATATTGTTCCAAAAAAAGCTGGAAATTCCCCTTCACTCTGTGCATTCTCTCGTTTTTAGAAATGCAGGAATCGAACATTACTAAACAAGCTCATTGCAAATCCCTTACACATTCAAGGAATCCATATTATGCTTCTTAAGCCACTCACCTATCTATATGTCGTAAACTTGGCCCCCCGACTTCCCCAAAAATGAATAATTGCATCGTCAGGAAATTGCTCACCTTTTGCTCAGGTGGAAAAACCACTTTTTAGCAATTGCTCACCCTCCCTCCCCCCTTAATTTTAATGCCAAATTCCCCATAGACCCCCAACAATGCCAGCCCCCCGACATTGTCCAATCGACCTCAAACCGGTGTCAAACAATAGCTCTTGAATTGCTCAGATTTTCTCATCAAAAATTAGGAATTGCTCACCCACCCGTCCCCCCAAAAATGAGGGTGCCCCCTGGTACCCCAAAATATGCCAGCCCCCCGTCATTGTCCGATCGACCTCAAACCGGTGTCAAACAATTGCTCTTGAATTGCTCAGAATTGCTCACTAAAAATTGGGAATTGCTCACCCACCCGTCCCCCCAAAAATGAGGGTGCCACCTGGTACCCCAAAATATGCCAGCCCCCCGACATCGTCCGATCGACCTCAAACCGGTATCAAACCAGTGCTCTTGAATTGCTTACCAAAAAGTAGGAATCGCTCACCCACCCGTTCCCCCCAAAATGAGGGTGCCACCTGGTACCCCAAAATATGCCAGCCCCACGACATCGTCCGATCGACCTCAAACCGGTATCAAACCAGTGCTCTTGAATTGCTCAGAATTGCTCACTAAAAATTAGGAATTGCTCACCCTCCCTTCCCCCCCCCCAAAATCCAATTCGAAATTCACCATATGGGCCCCCAAAAATGACAGCCCCCCGACATCGTCCGATCGATTAGGAATCGCTTACAAGCCCTGTGAATTTTTTTAACTTGTGCCCTGCTTCGGTAGGAAGGACCTCTTGGCGCACGCCTAGTGTGCCTACGAGATATATCCGGCCCTGCAAATCATTCCGGGTGTATCGGAGAAATCTGAGCTCTGGAGGCGAAGTTAAATGCAGTATGAATTATCCTCTAATTTTTTAATAAAGTTTGTTTTTACTTATAAGAAAACCAGAGTTATATGTAATATCTCGAAACATGAGTTTCAATATTTTTTGGGAAATAGCTCAGATCTGAAGAATTTAAAGTTAACGGACTAGCGCGCCTCTAGAACTCAAATCTTTCGTTCCGCAGTCGCAGGTAGCCGGAACCCCTCGACGTGCAGTGTGGCCATATCTCTCTCCGCTTTGTCTACCGGTCATAATTTAAACGAATGGTACGGGTCAGGGGCTGCGGCAACGCAAGATAAATCCGGAAGGGAGATCCGGCCCTCTTTGCGCGGGATCTTTAAATGTCGCAGGTAGCCGGAACCCTTCGAAGCGCAGCGTCGCCACATCTCTCTGTGCTTCGTCTACTGCCCATTGAAACTGACGGCAAGGGTCACGCGCTGTGGCAACGTAAGGAAAATCCGGATTGGAGATCCGGCGCTCCTTGCATGGGATCTTTAAACATTGATGTTGATCCAGATCGTTCATCAGGAGCCTTTTTAAGTAGCGCTGTTGAGTTCAACGAGCTCCAATTCTATATCAAAGTGTTATCTTATTTGGAAAGTTAAATATGTAGATACTTGGCTTCTATCTCAAAAACAATTTAATTTTCCCATGTGTCTGGGTCGAAACATATCAAAAATTTGACAGGACTATTTTTTAAGAAATGTTCATAAATGTGTAAATTGCATATGATTTTAAAATCCCCGAAATCCAGCTGAGATTTTCCTCACTCGAATGCGCCTTGTACAGCTCTTCCACATTTTAAGACGTACAAATTTTGACAAAGAAATTCAACGTTATAAAGACGTGATTTTTTTTTAGAAGAAAAATATCGCATTCGAGAACAGTTTCGATATCAGTGTCGAATGCGATATTTTTCCTCTAAAAAAAAACCACGCCTTTATAACATTGAATTTCTTTGTCAAATTAGGTACATGAATTCCTTAGACTCATGACAACTGAAGTGCGATCTCAAAATTCGAAAAAAATGACAAGTAGCTGAAATTATAGAACGAATCTATGCGATACATCGCACGTTGCTGTGACAAAAAAAAGTGGCGTCCGTCGAATCACCTTTTAACGCTACGCGGTCTTTCAGTGCTGAGCCCTGCAGCGCTAGACGTCAACCTCAACCTTCAACTGCTCCCTACTGAAGGCAAGTAGTGCTCAGCACTAATGTTGTTTTTTCCGTGCAGAATTCCTACCCAATCAGTTAAAGAAAATTATTATGCTAATGCCTTCCGATACTGA